GGGCTGAGATGGATTTTGGGGGACCTGGGACAGGTTTTGGTGGACCAGGGATGGGTTTCTGGGGGTTCCTCCACCCGGGCTGCAGTCCCTTACGCAGGGGAGCGGTTGCTCCTGGGGATGACGTCAACAACAGAAGATGTCGTCATGGCAATGCCGGAACCGGCAGCACTGTTGGGGGTCAGGTTGAGGCAGTTGGGTGTCCCAAGCCCCTGTCGGGTGCTGAGTGGGGGGTTCCCAAGCCCCCGACGAGGAGCCAACCCACCATGGGGACGCTGGTGGTGGGTGCTGAGCGCTATGACGTGGTGGCCATGGTGGGGAAAGGGACTTTCGGGGAGGTGACCCAGGGCTGGCGGAGGAGCACAGGGGAGATGGTGGCCATCAAGATCCTGAAGAATGAAGGCCACCACAGTCGGGTGGCAAAGAATGCCTGCGGGAGGTGGACACGGAGGAGTCGCACGTCGTCCGTTTCCTCGAGTCCTTCGGTGATGGCGCCTGTACCTACCTGGTCTTTGAGCTGCTGGAGCAAAACCTCTTTGACTTCCAAAAGCAGAACAACTTCTTGCCGTTGCCCGTCCGGCACATCCGTACCATCACGGCGCAGGTGCTGGCGGCCTTGGTCAAGCTGAAGGAGCTCTCCATCATCCACGCCGACCTCAAGCCAGAGAACATCATGCTGGTGGACCACGCTCGCTATCCTTTCCGTGTCAAGCTCATCGACTTTGGCTCGGCCAGCATCTTCACTGAGGTCCGCCACATCAAGGAACCCTACATCCAATCCCGCTTCTACAGGGCACCAGAGATCTTGTTGGGGTTGCCCTTCTGCGAGAAGGTGGACATCTGGTCTTTGGGTTGCGTGGTGGCCGAGCTTCACTTGGGTTGGCCACTCTATCCAGGTGTCAACGAGTACGACCAGGTCCGCTACATCTGCTCCACCTTGGGGCTACCGCGGGGTGAGTTGCTCTGTGCCGCCCGGAAGACGTGGTCCTTCTTCCAACGAGTGCCACATCCCACCGGTTCCTGGCAGCTCAAACCACCAGACAAAGAGATGGCAAAGCCAATCGAGAGGAAGAAGTACGTCTTCTCCTCACTGGATCAGTTGGCGGCAGTGAACATCCACCCGGCGTCTTATTCCATCCAGGAGGCGCTGGCCGAGCGCTGTGACCTGAACGGGATGGTGGAGCTGGTCAAGAGGATGCTCACGTGGGACTCGCACGAGAGGATCACGCCCAGCGCTGCCCTCAAGCATCCCTTCATCTCCTTGCAGGAGGTGAAGTCCAGCTTCGAGGCCACCCGGTACTACCAGCTCTGCCAAGAGGACTTGAGGGTATCCCGTAAAGATGCTGGCACGGTTGAGAACTTT